GCCGCGGCGGCGTGAGCTCGGCTGTGCCCCCCCCCCCACCTCGGCTCACCGCGGCCGGTGCCTCCGGGACCCGCGTTCGTCCCCGGGGAGGGGGGGGGAGGTCAGGGGCGAAGGTGGTTTTGGTACAGGCTCAAGTTTGGAAATGTGAAGTCCTGCGTTTCCGCAGGGCGAGACGCATCTGGGCATACGGCGGACTGAAATGTATGGAAGGGAGCCGCTGCTTTACGGACGGGGTCAGAGCAGAAGCTGCTCGTTCCTGCTTTGTGTTGCTGTTTAGAAACAATAAAATAACATCTTGGGGGAAAAAAGCAAGAACTGCAAATACTTCATCCTCTTTACTCTTACTTTCTTCATTTTGTAAAGTTACGGGCGTGGGTCTTCAGCTGTAGAAAGCCCTCGGGTAGCCCGGGACGCTCAGGCAACCAGGGCTTAGCCCTGCGAACCCCCCGACTCGAAATTCACCCCTCGGTGCCCAAAGCCCCCTCCTCAAGTGCCGGCGTAGCCTCACAGCCAAAGGCATCGATCAAACCCGTGTTAGTGGAGCACTTGACGTGCTATAGACACTATTGGTAGAATCGACTTGCTGTAGCACGGAGCTGCCGTCTCCCTGTCTGAGGGAAAAGGGAAGGAAAATGCCCCGTTGCTGCGGGAGGCAGAAGGATCCCCGGCGTGGGTTCCTCCAACCTGCCCTGCGAGGGGTCGCAAGCCCCGAGTCCCGGCGGCGGCTGCGAGCCCTCGGTGCAGCCTCTGAGCCTCCCCCGCCGTTATCCGGCAGCGGCGGGGTGGGAAGCGCGGGGACGGCGAGCACCGACGCCCGGTACCGGAGCGTGTCGCTTGAAAATAAACAAACGGGTGGCTGTGAGCCTCTGCCTGTCCCCCCCACCCCAGCGATGCCCCTCCGCCACCCCCCGGTAGTCGGTGACAGAAAACGTGCTCCCCCCCTCTTCCCTCTGCCTCGTACCCGACAGTCCCCTGTTCCGTTAGTGGAAATTCCGAAGTGTAAACGGGGAAAACTGGCCCAGGCTCGTGATACTTTGAATTGGCTGGAGCTGGAAACACTGTATATGCGGACGATGGAAAGTTGCGCTTTCTCCACCGCCAAACAAACTAATTAGCTAAGGCAGCCCGTGGGGAGGGGAATACTAATCTCAAGTTTCCCCTTGTTTATGCTTTTTCTAAAAACGTTCCTGCGCCCGGCCTAGGGTAGGAAAGTCAGTAGCTGGTGGAAACTCCCTCTCTAAGGAGAGGGTTGTTTACGATTACCGGTGTGTGCGCGCTGATGACGAGCGGTGATCTCCCTCCACAGCGACGGCGGAACAGCCGCTGGCGGAGTTAGTTAGGCAGGCAGGGAGTTAGGCAGGCAGGGAGTTAGGCAG